CTTGAGCCCAGGAGTTGGAGGTTGCTATGAGCTGTAATGCCATGGCACTCTACCCAGGGGGACAGCTTGAGGCTCTGTCTCAAAAAAAAAAAAAAAAAACTCTTGGCTCCATGCCCATAGCATGGTGGTTACAGCCCTGGACACATGCACCGAGGCTGGCAGGTTACAACCTGGCCAAGGCCAGCTAAACAACAACTGCAACAAAAAATAGCCCAGCGATGTGGCCGGCACCTGTAGTCCCAGCTACTTGGGAGGCTGAGGCAAGAGAATTGGAAGCCCAAGAGTTTGAGGTTGCTGTGAGCTATGATGCTACAGCACACTACCGAGGGCAACATAGTGACACTGTCTCAAAACAATAAATAAATTAAAAAAAAAAACAACTCTTTTCCCCCAGGGGCATGGTGGCTCACTCTGGGAGGCCAAGGTGAGTAGATCACCTGAGCTCAAGAGTTCCAGACCAACTTGAGCAAGAGTGAGACCTCATCTCTAAAACATAGGCCAGCACTGTGGAGGGAACCTATAGTCCTAGCTATTTAAGTGGCTGAGGCAAGAGGATCTCTTGAGCCCAAGAGTTGAGGCTGCTGAGAGCTATGACACCACAGTACTCTACTAAGGATGACAAAGTAAAACTGTCTCAAAAAAAAAGAAGAAAGAATAAGAAAATGTAAAAAAACTAACCAGGCATTGTGGTGTGTACCTATAGTCCAGCTGAGGCAGGAGGCAGGCCTCAGCTGGACTATAGATACAGGCAGGCTTGCTTGAGCCTAGGAGCTCAATGCTGCAGTGAGCCATGATCCTGTCACTGCACTCCAGCCTGGGAGACAACAGGTAACTTTGTGACAAAGTTTCCTTTTATACCACTTTTGTGCTCAAAAGCTGAAGCAGAGACTAGTAAATCCTGCTATTACACTAGCAAGTTGAGCCAATTGTGACTTACCACAGAGAAGACACACCCACAACTATGGAAGTATTTTTATTTTTACTGTCCAGATCGTGTAACATAAGGACCAGAACTTTGTCCCCGACTATTTTATAAATTCTCAATTGGCTGGTGAGGCCAATAGGGATACTTCTTCTTGTCTAATGTGGTTTCTGGGAAGGCTTCATTCAAATCCTCAATGGTCATCTGCTCAAATGGAATCATGTTCCTCATTTTCTCCAGCTGGAAAGAGGGAAAATGTGTTTGATTAAGGTAAATAGGACTGTGGAAATGCAAAATAAGACCCCAAGGCAGGTTCCTGTGAAAGAGGTAAACTGTATCTCAGTAGCTCATCCTTACCTGTTTCTCATATTCCACAATCCTGTCCTTTGAGAGAGACACAAACTCAGCACAACTTTTCACCTTTAAAAGAAAAGAGAAATTTGGTTCTAAAGCCAAGCAATATTCCTCTCCCAAGGCTCCCAAGGTAGGAATTTCAGAGCCCACTTTGGCTATCCCAACCCTACTGAGAATACATGCTCATGGTTGTCCTAACTACTAAAGAGTGCGCAATCCACAGCTTTCCCTAACACCACAAAGAGGCCCACACAGGAAAACGAGCTTGGGATGTCAGGACCAGGTTTCTTCAGAAAGTTTCTCCTCCAGAGGACCTACGAAATGCCTGTGTTTCATAGGGCCCAGTAACTGAACGGTCACAACAAGCCACATGACCACCTAGCCAGGCTTCTCTTTGGTGGAACCATCTGGGTTCCGATAGTTGTCCTTCAATGCTTTCAAGCAAATAGGTATTTGAATACTACTTGGATAATTTTTCTACCTAATTCCAACTTCTTATTTTCAATAGCTTTAAGGTATAATTGAAATATTAAAAAATGCACATATTTATTTTTTTATTTTTTTATTTTTTTAAGACAGAGCCTCAAGCTATCTCCCTGGGTAGAGTTCCTGGGCATCACAGTTCATAGCAACCTCCAACTCCTGGGCTCAAGCAAGTCTCCTGCCTCTGCCTCCCAAGTA